TTGCCATGTTGCATTATTACTAGAAAGTCAATAGATTAAAACATAAAAGACATGTGGAAATAACAACCACCAAATAAAGGTAAATTTTCGAGTAGGACTTACCACAATGCCTGGTCCCCAGAGCAAAGCATTTGTTGCTAGCCTTACCATTTGTTACTATTGATTCTGCTTGTGAAAAAGAAAGAGCTTTGCTGCCTTGACGAAGAGAAATTTCTCCTCTAGCACAATACAATTTGCAACCTTCAGCCTCATTTGAATCCTTACCTGTAGAGTGTTTATTCTGACAGAAGAAACCATAAAGGAATTAGGGTTTTGTCTCAGAAGTCTGCTTATAATTACTTTTGGTATCAAATGGCTCCAGAAACTGGAACATAATGATTTTAAAGGATACGAAACTCGACCATAGATAATAGGTTTGAATACAGTGTACAATAGGCAATGCCTAGAAGCAGAGAAAGGATGTATGTGATGGTACATATATAGAAGGACAAATGGCCTCCCTGTGGAGATCCTTGGGCTTTGTATGTTACCAAGGAGTTGCTCATTTATTATCTCCTGGTGGCTTAATAGGCTGCTCTTCCCATTAGAAAGGATCATTCTTTGGGAAATGGCTTAATTATCCAAGCTGTCTTTTATTTTGATAATAAGAAAAAAACAATTCATTCTAAGCAAGTCATAATTGCTCAGTTTAAAGAAAACATTTTCCCAATATAATTCAACAAACGCCCGTATAGCTTCTGTCAAATATCACCAGTAAGCACTAGGGAATGCATGTTCACTCATCGGACACTTACTGAGTGAACAGCCTTTGTTAGGAAGAGCACTTGGTGCTTCTGCATAAGACAATCCCTTCCTCCCAGAACCTGAGCCTGTTAAGGGAGACGATGTTGAACAATTCATTACACAGTCAAGCAACTCACTGACACTGGAAACTGAAGGAGATGGGCAGGCACTTTGAGAACGTATTAATGAGGGTTGGGTCCAAGCCCTTGAGGAAGACTTCCCTGGGAAAGGAGAATTTAGATGAGAACAAAGGACAATAGGTGTCAGCTAAGCAAGGGACAGGTGTGCTAGAGGTGAAAGATAGATGGTTTTTCTCTCTAATCTTCCTAAGGGAACTGAGAGCCCAAAATGTGAATGAGAAGTTGGGTCCTATATAGATTGCCAGTTGCTCCAGTGAAGAGAATTGTGCATGGCTTTGAGCAGGGTGAGCTTTCCTATGCTTGAATTTGAAAGCAAACCTGTGCAAGGCAATGTCATGGAACAAGAGCAAGAGAATTACTCTTCATGGCTTGTCTGCTACGATACTGTTGATGCGCAGTAAACAGATGATAATATGAACACCACCCTTGTTGCTATTTCCTCTCTTGGATAAGTACTTCAATTTTTAATCTCTCTTTTGAAAGATGAAAATTAGGACTTGGCAAAGATGCAACAGATTTTAGATCTGAAAATTTTTAAATTCTTAGTTCATGTGCAGTGAAAATATGCCACGATGAACATTATGGGAAAAAATCATGATGGTTTTATAAAGTGTGGCTGAAAGTAAGCCAATGGGTGAACTGATTCTATAAACTTTTCATTCCCCAGCTATTTATTGAGCACCAGCAACATGCCTGGCATACAGAGTGAGGCAGACAAGGTGCTTGTCCTCATAGAGATTGCATTCTAGTACACTTTGAGTGTATGGTTTGTAGGTGAAGTCTGACAACAGAGTGCATGTTGGGGGCTTGGAGCCTCAGTCTATTCAAGGTCTCCCTACTTAGGATCTTAGATGCCTGCTTCCTAGTGCCCTTGGCCCCAGCGGAATACATAAGTGCCACCCTGTGTGTCAGATCTCAGCTGGGAACATCTAAGGTCTACATTTAGCCCATGGGTGCCCAAGGGAAGGTGACATTAAGTGCCTACATTTGCAAAAGGACCTACATTTGCATTGGTCACTGGGTCCTGCATATTGCATAACTGCCTCTGCCATGTCACACAAAGGACAATCGGCAGACCTGAGTGGAGAAGATGTGGATGTCGGATACTCAGCAGAGGTAGTGTCAGTGCTCAGGCCTTCAAGCTGGAACAAACTGGACGTGGGAAGAGAACAGGGATGTGGCTGTGCGAGAGAATAGGAAGGTCTGAGGTACACTGGGGGCCTAAACCAGGCCAGACAGGGGGTCACAGTCAGGAAGCAGCTTGCTATCTCCATGAAAATGTGGGAGGGTTTTTGGTAGGAAAAATTATACCATCTGATTCATATTTGTAAAGGCTGTTCTTTTGTATATAAGATGAATTTTAAATAAATGTAATAACTCATACTCTATCTTGCCAAGAGGTTGAATAGCCTCTTAAGAGGTAACAGGCATAAATGCTGGTGCCCAAGGAGGGAAATGTGGGAGGGAGGCAAACCTGACCTGTCAGCTGAGGCCCTGAAGCCTGTGTGCGGGGAGCAGGAGGGGGCACTTAAGCCTTCTTTATCCTCATTGTGTTGAGAAGCAGAGTCATATGTGGAGAGTAAGGGGTGGCTGCCTGAGGTGGGAAGAGGAGATTTGGAACATTTTTCTAGGAGAAGAGGAGAGAGCTGCCTTGGAACAAGAACCAAAAAGGATTCTGACAGCCTGAAGGGCCAGGTCTGGTGGGAACCCTTCTTCTCCTTGAAGGTAACTGCCTCACTTGAGTGTGGACCCTATATTTTGCCTTTTCTTGAAGTTTCTCCCATTCTAATCTCACTGGCCTTTAATGAACAGATTCTTTTTCTCTCTCAAGATGAAGCCAGGGCCTCACCAGGTTAAGCAAATGTCCTACCACTGAGCTACATCCCAACTTTAAACCCTCAAACACCCCATGATACCATCATTCCAGCCATTTTCCAGTTTCTCTTCTTCTCCTGTATCTATATTTAAATGATTGGCGCTTTCTTCATCTACTTACCCATTTTCTCACCATTCATTTCTACTTTAATCTCTTGAGATATGATTTTTATGCCATTGGATTAGTGAAATTTCCCTGAAATTCACCCGTGACTTCTGCACTGTCTTTGCTGTGTTAAATTCTGCGTGTGTGTGTGTGCGTGTACATACGTGTCCAAGTTTAACCTGGGAAAGTGTCTTCCTTATTTTGCCTTCCCTTCTTGTTTTAAACACTTGTTCTAAATTTGCTGGACCCTGACGCTGGCTCCCAGGACTCCTTCTCCTCCTGCCTTCTTTGTCTGCTTGACAGCACTCTCTCTTCCCAGTCTCTTGTCATTTGTATTGAGAATCAGCTCTTGCTCATGGCTTGGCTCAGGCTCAGGGTACTTCTCTACTTTCATTGTCATCAACTATTTCTAAACCAACGCATTCTCCAAGCTTAATGATCAATGCTTTGCTTTATAATTCCCAAGTCACACTGTTAGCCCAAATTTCTTTCTCCAAACTCTGTTGTCATATTTCCAAACTACACTCAGCATGTCCAAAAACTGGCTTAATTTTTTTGTGTGTGAAAATCACTTTCAGAAGGTTTTCAAACTTCTTCCAATTTCCCTTCTTGAATCTATCATATTTGCAGTTGTGGAGGCAATTTTTACCCTCCTCTGCTCTCATCCTTCATACGTCATGTCTCATCACTTTTGTCTTCCAAGTACATCTCAGATGCAGTGCAGTTTCTTCATTCCTATTAATTCATTCACCAAGTGCGTGGATTTTTAATTAAACTCAGAGGTTTAGCCTCACTTTACTCTTACGACTGGAATTTTCTCTCTGATGTGCCTGGCCAGGATCACCAATCACTCATTTACTCAGTAAATATTTAGTGAGTACCTGTTATGTGTGCTGGAGACATAGGCCTGGACAAAGAAGGCAAAATTCTTCTTCTTATGCAGTATATGTTTTACTCATGCAGACCAATAATACATAAATAAAGAAATCATTTTCCATAGCGGTGGAGATAGAATGAAACTCTCCACTCAGTGAGTGATTAGAAAGGTCCTCTACAAGAAAGTGACATTCCAGTTTGGTTCCAGATGAACAGAAGGAGAAAATCATGCTAAACTCCAGGGACAACCCAGGTTGGGACACCTAGTGTGAAGGGCCCTGTGTGGGAATGATCCTGGCTTTGTTGTAGGAGCCCAAAAAAGGTTGATGTGAATGAATGCAGTGGAATAACAGGAGAACTGCAAAGGTGTGTCTAGAGAGACAGCTGCAGCCAGACCAAAGAGGGCTTTGTAGGGTAGACTGAAAACTTAGAGCTTTAGTTTAAGTTCAAGAAGCCATAGGGGAGGGAGAGTAGACTTTTAAGCAAGGCAGTGACAGGATTTGCTTTACATTTCATGAGATCACTCTAGCTACTTCGTGCATGGAGAAGGGATTGTGCAGTCCCTGAGGAGACACAGAACAATTAGGGGTCCAGCTGAGAGAGAATGGTGGCCTGGGATGGGTGAGGGCAGTGACAAACGAGTAGACAAACACATTGTTAATATACTTTACAGACAGAAGTACTAGAGTTTGTTGATGGGTTGGATACAGGGATAAAGGGAAAGAAGGAATCAGGACGACTTTCAGGTTTTGGCTCGCGTTCTGAGATGGGGAAGTCGGTGGTGGGAGAGGCTGTGGAAAGACAATAGAGTTTCTACATGTACATTTCTAATGATGGAACATCTAATGATGTATTTCCTTTTCTTCACTGTAAGAATAGGCTATCCTGAAACTGATATTGGCGGGGGCTGGGGATTTAGCTCAGCGGCATAAGTGCCTGCCTTGCAAGCAGGCAGTCGTGAGTTCGATCCCTGGTACCGATAAAAAACGAAAAAGACAAAAAAAAAAAAAAAGAAACTGATATTGGGAAAGTCTTGTGTTGAACCCCAAATGTGTTTCTCTGCATCTCTCACATCATTTTAGTGCTTCCTTTTCAACAAAGTGAATTGTATTTCCTTTTCCTACATGACAACATTTTTCTTTACCTGTGTTAAGAAAAACTATTTTCACCTAAGTTTTCTCTTTTCTGATAAATTTACTCAATTTGTTTCTGATTTCTAGATCATGGCAGATCCAAAATGGTTTTCCTTCATAGCTGTGCATCACTGCAAACAATTAGATCTGTCTTTCTAATGTGCCAGCCATTAATCACTAAAGGCTAGATACTGGGAACTCGTGTCCAACAGGATACTAAAATTAGACTCTTCTGTCTCAGTTTTGCTAAGGTAAGAAGACAATGGATGTTACATTGTAAAACATGACCATGCAAAAATTTCAGTGTCAGCAGCCAAGCAAATTCTTAAACTTTCAAGAAGATCCCCTTGTATAACAGAGTTGGGAATACAGACAGGGGCAATGTGTGATGTGGCTGTGAATGTTATTCTTCCCAAGGGTGGGTGTGGACCACGAGTGACTCAGTTTTAAAAGTCCCCACATTGTGAAGCCCCCACTTATTAGAAAAGCAGCAGCTACATAAGCACTTTCTGCCTCCTTTACCTTTCACTCTGGCCACCTTCAGCAATGGGGAATGAGAAGTCATAGTCACCAGAAGGATAAGAAGAAACTAATTTAGAAGGTAGCATCATCTTTTTGCCACCTGGAGGGGGATCTACTGGAAAATAGATGAGGCTTAACTTTGAAACTTTTATTACTACATTGGTCCTGTATATTAAGTTAAAACCATGATCAGGAGAAGAACTGTAGAGAGACAGTAGAAATCCAAAGTCCCTTTGTGATTGATCACATTTCAAGGGTCTGCCTCTTTCAACATTCTAGTAATACACAGATGAAAGAAGTTTCACATTGCTATGATGTGTCTTTAAGAGCTCCCTTCTCTGTCTCTGTCTTGCTCATAGGTTGAATCTAAACCCCTAAGCCTGGAATTTGATGTCCCCTGTTACCTGAGCTCATCTATATTTTTCAACCAAAGCTCCCACAAGTCCTAATAGAACATTTCACTTCTATCAGGTAATCCTCTGGGCTTTGTAATAACAGCTAATATTCATCGGCCATTTATTGTGCTACACATTATGCAGTCAGCTGTCTGTATCCATGAGTTCTCCATCCATGGATTCAACCAACTGTGAATTGAAAATATCTTTGTTAAATTGCATCCGTACTGAACACGTGGGGGCTTTCCCCATGTCATTATTCTCTAAACAATACAGTGAAAAACTATTTATGTAACAGTTACATTGTATTAGATAAGTAAACTAAAGATGATTTAAAGTTTAGGATAGGATGTGCATATGTTAAATGCAAATACTATTTCACAAAAGAGACTTGAGTATCAGCAAATTTTGGCATCCTTGGTGGCCTTGGGGGTGGAAATTCTAGGACCTGTAGATTGCTAACAATGACTTCACTATATGATCCTCCCAAAAATCCTTTGATGTAAATATTATTATTCCCATTTTACAAATGAAAAATCAGATATCAGCTAATAAAAGACACTGAATTTCCCAGGAGATCTAACTCTAGAGTCTACAATCCTGACAGCTAGGCAAACCACTTTCCTCCCTATTCTCATATATTTTTGGTTATTAACCTACTGCTGGTATATTCCCTGCCTTCCTGTTTTGAGTTTATGCCATCCCAGATAGCTTTCAAATCCTAACTTAAACTCCAAAATCTATGAGGAGGGCTGGGGATATAGCTCAGCAGCACAGCACCTGCCTGGAAAGTACAAGGTCATGAGTTGAGCCTCAGTACAAAAATAAAAAAAAAAAATTGTGAGGAACGTTCCCTAACTTTAGAGTTATCTAGTCTCTGAATTCCTAAAATAATTAGGAACTTCCAAACTTGGACTTGTGCCATCTGTTTCTGCATTGTTTTGGATGTGTTATTTGGGTTAGCACCTGTTGGTTTCTTTCCGGGAGGAGCCTGTGGTCCATCTCTTCTTGTGTCCACCATGGCAATATTTTTCAAAATTTCACACACAGAGTATAAACAGATAGCTCACTATATAATAACAAAGTAAATGATGCTTAAATGGGTGAAAAAGTGCTGGCCTCATTATAAGGATATGTGAAGTCTCATAGAGTTACTATTTCTCACTTGTCAGATAGGCAAAAACCCAAAAGTGTGACAACACGTTCTGATCACAAAGCTGCAGGAAAAATGGACCACTTCAACAGTGATGAAGAGAAAGCAAAATGATGCCTCTCTTACAACAGGGAATTTGGCACCATCTACCAAAATTATATGTACATTCTTTTCCACACAGTAATCTCACTTTTGGGAATCTATCCAAAAATACACTTGCCAAATCCAAAACACTGTATGTTCAAAGCTATTCTTTGCAGTACTGTTTATAAAAGGAAAAGTCTGGAAAAAACAAAAACAAAAACAAAAACAGTGCCAATTAGTAGAGGCCCGGTTAAATAACTATGGTAAATCCATGTTAAGTGTCCTATGTGGGAATAAAGAAGGATCTTTACAGACTGTCCTGGATGATGTCCAGGACTTATTGTTAAGTGAACAAAAAAATAAGGTGAAGAAAAATGTATATTATCTGTGCAAGAATATGGGTTCCATTTGTGCCTTTGTGCAAGAAGGGATAGAATATGGCTATTTATATATTTGCTTTTTTTAGTACAGCACTAGAGGGTTGAACCCAGAGCCTTTACATTACACTACATCCTTAACTATTTTTAAATTTTTTATTTTGAGACAGGGTCTCACTAAATTGCTAAATTGCCCAGGTTGGCCTTGAGCTTCCAATATTCCTGCCTCAGCCTGAGCAGCTTGTATTTGCTCATACATACTTTCAAAAGGAAGCAATGAAAGTTTACACAGAAAAATAAAAGTATCATGATAGGGAGAAATCAACGAGAATGAAAAGATCTGCCTGAATGAATCTTGCTTTTTATTTTTAAGTTTATTTAAGGAGAAAAAGAAAAAAAAAAAAAAAAACAGAAAAAGGGTATAAGTTATACAAAATTTCAAAAAAAATAAACAGTAGGAAATCACTAGTTAATAGACTACATATTGTCATCTTAGAAATAGATGTTCAAGTTACAAAATTAAAGCATATAAAGTGGACATTCAGACAGTGAGACTGCAAACAGTTCTGTTCAATGATCCAACAAAAACTCAGTAATATGGTTATCTATCTTATACGCTTAAATATACATGCAGTTATATCCTTTAGAGCACTTTTTTTTCCTCTATTTTTTACAATGATGATTACACATTTTGGGTTTTATTACTACCACTGTTCTTATTACTTTTTTGAAGAGAATAAAACCAAATGTAATGTAACAAAACAGTCAGTCAAATCAAAAGGATGGACATAGTACATAATGTAAGAACAGAATACAAGGTGATCAACAATGGTTACCATAATGCCTCTTGCTATCTTAAAAAGAATTGCCTATATTATCAGTTATAATAAAATTGAACAAAACAGTAAAGAACAAAACTAATAAAACCAAAACATTGGAGACATTATAGGACTTCAAAACAAGATAATAGTCAAACCAGAATGGGCACCATAGTGAATCTTATTATCTTCACAGTTGTTGCCTATAATCTCAAACTTGGTACTATCAAGCAAAAGAGAATAGAGTAAAATCAGTCAAAACAAGATGGTGTGAGTAATACAGGGTTTCAAATCAAGTTAATAGGAAATCCAAATGGGTTACTATAATATATCCTGCTATTTTTCCCCTTAATTAAAAAGATAAAAACAAAAAATAATTAAAAAAGGAGATTGAGATAAAAGAGGACATAACAACAAAACAGCACATGTCAGAACATAACCATTTAAGCAAAATAGTGTTTCACCACAAGATATCCCGACATAAAAGTAGTCACCATATGTCTCTTTCCTTGAAATCTTTGAGTATAACATCGTATACTGTACCATCAAACATATCAAGACAATGTAAAACCATTCAAGAGAATGACAGTATTACATGGTATTTAGAACCAATTAATAGAAAATGAACAATGGTTTTTGTATTATCTCCTTGTCTATAAAAGTTTTTGTTTATATTATCACATATAATAAAATCCAATAAGATACATGTTAAGATCGATGGAGACAGAAGAACAAAAGCTTGATGGGACTTCAAAACAAGATGATACTAAATCAGCACTAGCTATTATGATGTCTTGTTTCTCCAAAATAGATGTTCCTACCATCCAACCTTCTCGGCCTCTTTTCTGTTGAGCTCTTTTTCTGTCATTAGTTGTCAGTTTGTCTTCTTCATTTCGCTTTCTACTCCATTCATTGTGGCCTCTCTGCCACTGTTTCTGGAATCTTGGTATTTTTCTCTCTTAGAATGTCCTGCAGTATTCTCTGTAGAGTTGAATTGGTGGTTGCAAATTCCCCTAGTTCCTCTTTATCCTGGAAGCACCTTGTTTCTCCATTAATTTCTAGGGACAATTGTGCAGGATCTTGGCTGGAAGTTATTGTCTTTCAAAGCTTGAATTATTTCACGCCATGTTCTTCATGATTTGATTGTTTGTGCTGAGAAGTCTGCTGTAATTCTGATGGGTGTTCCCTTGTAAGTGACCTGTTTCTTGTCTCTGACAGCTTTTAATATTCTGTTCTTATATTGGATTTCTGAAATTTTTATTATTATATGCCTGAGTGTAGTTCTGTTTGGGTTTTAGGTGGCTGGGGTCCTGCATGCCTCATAGATCTGAGTATCTTTACCTTTTCCCATATTAGGGAAGTTCTCTTTGATTATTTCTGTGACTAGCCTTTGCAATTCATTTGTTTGTATCCCTGCTTCTTCCTTTACATTCTTAATTCATAAGCTATAGATCCTCTTATCATCTTCTAGCCTTTGTATTGTTACTGCTTGTTTCCTTGTTATTTTTAAGAAGTTTTTTTTTCCTTTCATGCTCCCACATTACAAATCTGTCCTCCAGTTCAGATAATCTATCCTTAGTTTCTTTCAAGCTGTTATGCCAGCTTTCAATAGAGTTTTTAGTTTCCTGGTAATCTCTTTGAACCTGCTTCATGTATTCTATGTTTTCTCTATTTTCTTCATCAAACAATTCTCCCCTTTTTTTCTGCTCTTCCATTCCACCATCTATTTTTTCTTGGGAGGTGCATAGCATTTCTTTAACTATTCTACATATATCTTGCTTTACTTGGTTAAATACTTCACTTTTGAATAGTCTATGAGGTCCCAGAGATATCACTTTATGTCTATTGGTGCCGTGACTGATATCACATTTTTTTTTGTCCTCATTCTCCTTTGCATTTACCTTTCCTGGATCAGTGTTCTCAGGGTTGGGGACCGAGGACCCTTTCTTGTTGCTCCCTCTTCCTATACTTTTTGTTCCTTCCATACAAGCATATATAGGAGGCCCAGTTTCTTTCTTTGTCAGTTACAGTTTGTTTGAATTGGGCCAGCTAGGTGTTCCCGCCCACTGCAGTGGACTAGGGAGACACAGACCTGGGCAGCCTATGCTGGGCCCGCCCTTCCAGGTCAGTCAACCTGCTGAAGGCTTCACTGCATTAAGGTACATTGCCAGGCGCAGGGACCTGGTTTGGGCTAGCCTACTGGGTCTTAGTCCACAGCATCACCCAGGTCAAGCACTCCCCACCAATCCCACTTGAGAGGGGAATATGTGACTGAAGTCATTGCAGTGTCCTGTTCTGGCTAGTTTGCCCAGTCCCAGAATGTCCTCTGTTGGAGCTTCCTTATTTATGGAAGGGTCCCCATTCCTCTCACTCACTGCAGGTTGATGCAGGGCTCCCCACCAGCTCTGCTCTCAATTCAGTTCGCTGATTCCCACTCTCAGAGCTTTCACGTCTCTATCCCTGCTGTGCCGATTCAGATGCAGCAGCAGCGGCAGGAAATTCAAGCCGCAGTTTCCAGAGGCACGAGTTCCAGCTTCAGCACTGAGACTTTGGCTGTTTCAGTTGTAGCACCGGGATTGCGTGTCCAATTGGTTTCTCTCAGCTAAGTTCATTCCTGGGTCGACAGGATATATCTCCCCCTGCTTAGGACTCCCCACACTGCAACATTCCTGAAACCTAAGCTGGCTATCTCAGAGAGCCTCTGTAGCTGCTATTATCTATCCACCATGTTCTCGAATCTTGCTTTATACTCCTGACTTTGAAATCAACTACTTTACATAATTGTAAAAAATTAAACCAAAGGAAAACACAGAAACAGCTACATATGTGTCATAGAATTGGGACAATTAAGTAAATGGAACAGGGCCAGTGTTTCTCACTGTTGTCACGAGAGGTCACAGAGAAGCAAGGAGAAGAATCCAGACTGATCCACGTGGAGATAGACTGGGGTTAGAGATACTAGTGTGAACTCCTGCTTAGTATAACATAGACACAGACAGTTACACCCAGGAATATTTAGATATGAGTCTATACACACATGTTAGGGTGCAGACTTCTCTTTCCTTGACCCATTGACTGAGAAGGCTTAGAAGCAATGACACCTCAGTAGCCAGTAGCCCTCCTAACCCCCAGATCTTGGTTTCTAACCATTCTCCAGCAAAAGGAACCAGGCTCTGTAGAGAAAAGCCTAGTTTTACCACTGAAGTGAGAGATGTTCAAGATAATTCTGGAGCTTCTTGTCACGACAGAAAGTAAGGAAGTGCTCACAAAACAACAACCAACAAAAAACAAGGGCGTGTAAAAAAGGACACAAAAATAAACTCGCAAAGGCCAAAGTTAGTCCAGTTTGAATAACTGGACTATAATTCTAAACATAAAATAAATATCCATGATTCTATATTGACATAAAGAAAATTGTAATAAATAACCAAACAGATAAATCTTCATGTAAAAGAATTCCAGACATCTACCCTCAAAGACATAGAGCAGAATTTTCTACTCCTTAGGTAAAGACCATGCATAATGACTTTTCCTAAAAGGGCACAGTATGAAAAAGAAGATGAGTGAGGTTACAGAGTGAAAAGTGACAAACATCACCTCAGCAAAGTGATAAATGTCAGCATTGGTACCAAGAAGTCACACTGATAGGATGTACCCTTGGCAGGATGGATATAAATGGCACTTTACTTCTGAGGTCTTCCTTCCCCAGACTCACAATCCCAGATTCATCTCAGGAAAACTATATAGCAATCCCAATTGAGTGACATTTTACAGAGTACCTGACTAGTATCCTTCAAAACTATCAAGATTATCATAAATAAGGAAAGCCTGAGAAACTGACATGACCAAGAAGAGCCTAAGGAAATACAATATCCAAAGGCACTGTGGTATCCTAGCTGGGATCCTGAGGCAGAAAAGGGACATTAGATAAAAGCTAAAGAAATACAAATAAGCTGTGAACTTTATGTATCAACACTGGTTCATTAACTGTGACAAAAGTACTACATTAACATGAAATGTTAAGAATGGAATAAACTGAGCATATGTAAGAAATCTGTACAATCTTTGCCATTTTTCTATAAGTGAACTTATAAAAGTGAAAAGCTTCTTTAAAAATTTAAAACAAACTTAGCTGTATATCAGGTTGATACTATAAACATGAACAAAATCCTGAGGACATAGGCACAAAGTAATTTTAGACCATCTCAGGAAATACGATTCTAGACTTATAATTTATCTTTTCCAAAGTAGTGTAAGTTCCCTAGTTCTGTCCTTTGACAATAGACAGGGTTGATAATCAGTGATAACCAATGAGTACCCCTAGAGCCCAGCTTGCCATGTCTAAGTACTATTTCCCACCAAGCAGAGTCACAGCTCCTCGGAACAGTAATGACAGGTGTGGGGTGGATGGACATGGACCATCAAGTCATACCTGAAATTAAGGTATGAATGCAACAAAACAAAACACAGAAGCCAACTTGAAATGACCCCCACTGGACAGAGACAGGACAGCCTGAACATGAAAAAGAATAACAACTTTAATAGATTAAACCACATTAAACATGTAAAAGCCTACGAGTCCATAAGAAAGAAAACTTCATGGGCTACATGTAGGGAATTTTATGGCATCAGTCATTCTGATAAATATAAAAATAAAAAATAAAAGGAAATATAAAAGCTTATACATCTTTTTCTTTTTCCAAGACAGAGTCTTGTTATGTACTTCAGACTGGCCTTGAATTCATTACATATCCCAGGCTGGCCTTAAACTCAAAGCAATCCTCCTGCTACAGGTATGTGCCAACATGCCCAATCTAAAAGGTTTCGTCTTGTCTTTCTTGTATAGAATATATTTCTTGGTAACCAAATAGCTTTTGAAAGAAACTCCTTCTCTATAGAAGAATCAAACACAGGAGGAAAGAGAATTTAGAAAATCACTATGCCACAGAAGCAGGCAATGATCAAATTGGCTTTTAAAACTATTAAATAAAATGTTGATGGACAACTTTATAATCGGTAGATCATGCTGACAGTACTTGAACCCATCGATGAATTTTAAATAGAAGTAGAACAGCTGGGAATAATGTTCCTCCACCTGTAAAATATCCTTGCCAAAAAAGGAAAATATTGAATTTAATCAGGCTTTAACCATCAGCTTACACAAAATAAGAACGATTGGAGCACATATTAAAAACAGCACCATGAGAATACAATGACTCAAATCCAGACTATGAGGAATTCTATAGGAAGAATGACACAGTTTCCTAAAAAAAAAAATGGTCTTAAAATAATGGACTGGGACTGAACGAGACATACCAACCAAACAGATGGATTTTTTTTTTTTTTTAGAGAGAGAGAGATCCCCATTTGAAAAAAACAAATGTAAAAAGACATTTTTGAGACTAGTATGGAAGACTGAACATGGACTGGGAATTGATAATATTAACAAATATTAGTCTTACGTGAGATGATGGTATTGTGGTTATGTTAGAAATATAAAAAAGCAGGTAGAGTGGCACAGGTCTGTAATCCTCACATTCGGGGAGGCTGAAGCAGGAGGACTGCAAGTTCCAGCCCAGCCTGTCTCTAGATAGATAGACAGGAAGGGAGGCTGGGATGTAGCTCCACCTGGAGGAACACACTGCAGAACTAATGCACGAAAGGATAAGATGTCTGGGATTCACTTTAAAATGTTCTCTCATCTCTTCTAAAAGCATAGGATATAATTAAAACAGGAATAGCAGAATACTGTTGAAGCTGACTGAGGGAAACATGAGGTCCCCGGTACTATTGTCTCTAATATTATATATGTTTAAATATGTTCATGATATATAGTAAAATGACTTTATAAAATTTTCTAAAAATTGTCACAGGTTTGTGGGCACCAAAAAGATTTTGGTTCTAGAGTTTAAAGACAAGCAGTGTAGTGATACTGACTCAGTTGGTTCTGGACCAGATGAGAGACAGGTTTAGTTGAGCACTACCATGGGCAGGAAATAAACCCTGAGTAAGTATCTAGTGTTATTTCACTCAGGAACTGAAGTTGAAAATTTCTCTCCATACAGAGGAAATACGAAAAAAATCAAATGTGCTAGAGAAGCCTGACCAAGATGACCAACTCCTTGGGGTGCATAGGATTACCTTTCTACTGGAGCCCATTTCTTAACAAAGTATCTGGGGTTCTCCAACTCATTAATTAAAGGATCATTTGAGCTCTCAAAGACTTGGTAAGTGAGTGCCGATTTAGTAATTCCCTTTCCTCCAGCTGTTGGTTTGTGCGTGTTTGTAGTTTCTTCAGTCCGATTCAGTCTGGTTCCAGTAACAAGTAGCCACCACCTCTGTTCTACTCATACGCCAAGAAAAGTGTGCTTTCAGGCTCATGATCCTTCCATCCTCTCTATTTGCTTATATGCATATTTTAGCTCTGTTGCCAGCAGTAATAAAGAAGGAAATCATCAGAGCCAGCGCTTCTGTTCAACAATCCCCTAAGATCTCCAAGAAGGCAGATCTGTTTAGTAAACCAGAAGTGAGAATCCTCCTGAGGTGTCTGAGCTACTGAGTTTAATTGAGCTGCAGCTGCTTTCCCTCCTCCCGCTCTCAATCCTGGTTCAGCTTGCAGACAACAGGGATTTACCAGTTAATTGGCTGTTTCTATGATTGTCATTCACTTAGACACTCTTCCTATTCTTTGTTACTACAAAATGCTTTTCTCAAAATGATTTGTTTTTCCATAGATCCTGAAGACAAATGTGTGACCCGAAAGCCTTTAGGATTGTTAAAGGGGCAAAAAAAGACCAAAAAAAAAGTCTACGCCTGGAAGTTATATGTGTGTGTGTGTTGCAGGGTGTGGGATGTTGCTCTGAACAAAGTCAAATAGAATGGGATTGGTGTCCCAGGTTATATTTTATATAAAGGTGCTGGACATGTTACAAGTCTCAGAACCAGTTGGACAGGTTGAGGGAGTTCCTTTTTATTTCTCACCACCCAGCTGAACAGAGGAAACTTTCAACTCCTTCACGTGAATGGTGTTGAGAAAGGTTGGCAAGCTCGGGCTTATGTTTCATGGCTCTATCACCTTTTCTGCAAGGTGCTAGACCCCCAAACCAGATACAAGGACCCAGAATGGAGCAGGAGGCCTGCTGGGCCCATCTGCTCTCAGTTCAACTTTAGACCTGGGCTGCCAATGGTTTTTGAACTCAGTTGGCTTCCGACATAAAAAGAAATGGGATCCATTGCCAAAATCAATACGTCATATGTGTTTATGTGTCTGGCTGTCTCAGATTGCATCATGATACTGGGTTTTGGTGGTCACTCTGTCTCCTGTCCTCACGGCTGTGTCAAACTGCTGCCCCCAGCTTGGTGCCTAACAGCCCTGCAGTTTCTCCCCTGACAAATTCAGTGGGCAATGTGCCAGAGTAATCCTCAGTGTTTAACTCTTCTAAGTGCTTTACTTTTTTTTTAATTGGAATTTCCCCATTCAGAAATCCTAATTGGCTCCTAGGAAGTGAGATGATTCTTTGGCTCCTGCAACCTCTATATTTCTGCAAGGCCATTCTGTTTCCCAAATGAATGCACTAGTCTAGGAGCCAAGATGAAATCAGTTCCAGGTCTTTCCACTGAAGAAAAGAATGCTATATGATGTAAATCAAAAAGGAATCTGGGGGACAAATTTCAGTAAGTCTCCTCTAACTCAGGAATTTGTGCCAGTAATAGGAGGGGTCAGCTGGGTCAGAGGCCTGCCTGCCTCTTGTAAATCTGTAGTATATACCTTGCAACTCAGTTGCCCTTTTCTCTCCTTTTACTACCCAGAGTGAGGAAAGCCAGTGTTTGAAAATTTCAGCACCCAGAGAGCTTCTCAGCCAATTAAATCTGTGTCCTTGGAGGAGGTTTTTGCTTTTGTTTGCTTTAAATCTCCAGTTAATTCAAATGTGCTGCATGGTCAAGAACCATCACTCTAACGGGAAGTCCAAAGAGCTGGGAATAAATTACCACCTTTCCAGATCCTGCCTTTGCCACCGGAGAGTATGTGGGTGAGTAAAACCATGGGTAACTCTGTTCTAAGATGATTAGAGCTCTAAAATACTGTGATTCCTTTGCAACTGTTTTCTATCCTGGAAACAAACAGCATCCCAAAGCCAACTATTTTCCAGAAAAACCCAGACCTCCTTTAAAACTGTCCACAATGTATAAAGATCTGTCTAATCGGATCAGCATGTTGCCGAGCTCAGATTCTTTTACTGCACTTAAGTAAACAAGTAGTGTTGGTTTACAAAGGAAAAATACAAGCTCCATGATATTTCTGATAATATGGGCTTACCAACTAGTTTCAAGTGAATAGTGGAATTTTTCTTAATGCATATTTAAATACTCTAGTTGTACTAGTTTTCAATTCCTCCGATGCTCAGTTAATTAGAAGTGTACCCTTGTTGGGAATGCCTTAAAATAAAAATGGATTCCCTTTTTTTCTCCCACTGGTGGAAGTTTAAATACTTAAAAATAAGATGACAATGTTATCGAAAACGTGCATTTTTTGGTCTGGCCTGGATGTTAACTAGATATTATTGCAGTTGTCTAAAAGGATAGAGAAAAGCTTCAGCTCTTGAACTAAAGCATAATTAGTCAGGCAAAAAGGAACTCTAAAGGGGTACTAATTGCTCTTAAAAAGATAAATTGAATTGAACCAGAGAAGCAGAAAATTACCTTTGTTGAGAATCATCTTAGTTGGTTAAGAAGGGAGGGCTTGTTGAAATTGGAACAACTAAAAATGAGCATAGATGAGAGGAGAACCTTACCACTTTCTCCACCAAACATAAATCCTAAGGCAGAAACCTGAGCGCCACCCAGTTAAGGCAAGGTTGGCCTCCGGCTCCCAGTAACCTGCATGTATATCTTCAAGCTGTGCCAGTGATTGTCTTGGCATCCTGTAACAAGGACTCCCAATGTCAGGTGTAAATGTAATCTCAAAGGATATGTTGTGAAACTGTCTGAATGAAAGTAATTGAAACTCAGTTTCATTTTTTAAATGGGCCTTCAGGGCAGGGGTAAATAGTGCTCCTTGCTGTGAACCCTGCAGTCTTTCAGGATACGTCATAAGTAGAATGAGACCAGTGTGTGTGAAACTAGAATTTATAACTCCTTGAGTCAAGTTTAAGAGATGGCAAAATCAAAGTAAATATGATATGTCACAGCCACAAGAGTCTTGGGACCCAGTGACCGGAGGTAAATCCAGAGGTATTCTTTCATGTAGGCGTTTACAAAGTCACCCTTTCTTCCTCCAGAAATTCAGACAAGGGGCTGAGCACATGTTTGTTTTATCCAGTATGCGTGCAATAGTCCTTGGTTTTTCACTCACATATTGACCACACACAATAACAAAATCAGGAAATGTTCATTGCTAACCCCCTTTCTGCCCTCATCACCGTCTTTCTCCCAAGAGCTTTCACACCACGGACCATTCGCACCATTGGCCAACCACACCCGGGCCATTCCTATCTTTGCCGTTCTCCCCTCTGGTCTTCTCTTCCTACCCTTCCCACCCTGTAACCTTGCTTGTCTCTAGTCCTTTTTGCTGGCCCTTGGCTTGCTGCTGACCAATACCAGGACTCCCCGAGTGTGGCCCTGGGTCCTGGTCTCTGTCTCACCCTTTCCCTGGCTGTTCACATCTGTAGCCGTGGTTTCAAACTCCCTAATCTAGATCATCAGCTCCGACTTGTCCCCAGACTTCCTCAGATAGCTAATTTTCTCCTCAGTATCTGAACCTAGGTGTCCGAATGCCATCTGACTCCTAACATGTCTAAAACAGAAACTTGATTTCTCTTCTCCCGGACTTAATTCTTAGGTTCTCCATTAAATAATACGGGTCCATCTACTTGCTCAAACCAGGAACCTAGCAGTCATTCTCAAAACTTCCTTTTTTCTCTAACCCTTCAATGAGTTCTGTCAGTTTTATCTCCAAAATATCTTTCTAATCCTCCCACTTAGCTCCATTTCTACTCTCCCTGTCCTTGCCCTGTGAGGACTGTCACAGCCCTCTGGCTAATCTTTCTCTTTTCACCTTTGCTCCCTGCAATGCATTCTCCACACAATGGCCAGGGTGAACTTTACAGAATGTAAATCAGATCCTGTTAATCACCTGATTAAAACTCTGCCCAGGAATGCAACGATACCTTGTTCTGTAAAACACCCCATTAACAGATTAGAGGAGAAAAACTACAGAAGTATCCAGCTGACAGTGAGACAGCTTTCAGTAAAATTCAAAATTTGTTCATGGAAACTACTAGAAATAGAAGAGAATTTGCTTAGGCAGATAAACGTAATAAAATGTATTTTTTTAAAAAAGAGCAAAGTTACTGGAGGAATTTGAGTACTGAACTACAGCACTAAACTGAGTGCTCAGGGTGGTTAACACTGAAAAGGAAAAAATAAAAATAAGTCACTTGAGAATGAGAAGGGAGAGATTGGAAAGTGGGGGATATGCCAAAAGCAGGACACAGAGAGCTTTAGTTTCATCAGTAAGGCTTTGTGTCTTATGGTTGGTGGTAGGTTTACTGCATTATCTGTGATGCAACATTTTGGCTTGCCTGAAATATTTCAGCATAGGTTTTTGTGGGGTTTGTGGGTTTTTTTTTTTTCCTAATTGTGGGTTAGAAGGTTGTAGGTGGACCAACGAGACCTAGTGGGAAGAGGCTGAGTTAGGACAGTAGCAGTGAGGATGGTGAAGAGGATGCCAGCCACATCAAGCCTGGGGAGCCCTCCAACTGTTACACCCAAATGAGAACGGGAGAGGAGAGGGAGGAAGGCTTTGGGGGTGACTGGAGAAGGGTGAGGCATAGTCAGGCCATGGGAGAATGAGCAGGCCCAGGGTGAGGAGGTGGAGTGAACCCTAAGCTCAGTTTTAGACAACTTGGTTTTGAGGTACTGGTCGATATTCAATGGTGGGGTGGGATGTGAGGAAGATGGTGATGGCATGCATCACAGTGATGATTCTGTAACACTTAGCCTCCGTTCTTGAAGGTTGTCTCCTGTCTGGTCAGACACCAAGGACAGGATCTCAAAATCAAGGTAAAATCATCACATTTCACTGTGACATCTTGAGTTGCAAGGTTGCCCAAACCTCTGGACTCTATGCTCGGAACCTAGAAACTCTGCCTCTTTGAGATCACCCAGTCCAGGCTAATTTGAACAGGCTGCACCCAGACTGTCAGCCCTGGGAAGGGCTTCCGAGTACTCCTTCTTTTTAACAAACTTTTAAATGTTAAGAATAATTTGAAAAGGGGCTGGGGATTTAGCTCAGCGGCATAAGCACCTGCCTTGCAAGCAGGCGGTCGTGAGTTCAATCCCTGGTACCGATAAAAATGAAAAAGACAAAAATGAAAAAGACAAAAAAAAAAAAAAAAAAAAAAAAAAGAATAATTTGAATTTGTAGAAAATTTGCAGTCAGTAGACACCTCCCATTCCCCCTTACAGCTTCAGCCTTTATTAACATCTTATATTAGTATATATGCCACAATGAGTGAATATTGATACATTATTATTAACAAGTCCTCATACATTTAGATATCATGTCCCTTTAGGCTCCTCTAGACTGTGATGATTCTTCAGACTTTCCTTGCTTTGACCTGGACAGTTCTGAGGAGTGTTGGTCAAGTATTTTGCAGAGTATTTGACTGGGATTTGTCGGATGCCCTCAACCTACTTTTTAAGTAGCAGAGTCTGGCTCCCTTCCCCCAAACAGAAGTGGGAACAGCTGTGGTTAACCATAAAGCCATGCAAGAAGAGCCTCAAGGCATCTCTGTGGAATGCTGCAGGGCCTGAGAAACCTAGTCCAGAACAATCCCTCATTTATAGACCCAGGAAGCTGCTCTCCAGCCTTTACGCCCCTTTCCTGGGAGGATCTTCCCTATCACCTACCCTCCTCAGCTGCATCAGTTCATTCCTGCCCCACAGGATCCACCAGAAGACAACTTCTCATTGTGCTGAGCTCCCTGACCCCAACCCCTGTGCACACACTTGAACTTCATGTTGCCACACTAACGTGTTTACATTGAGACCCTCTGCCTCAGTCAGAGGTAAGTGGGTCATAATTGAAGTCTCTTTCACCATTTCCAGGCCTTTGTGAACCTGCTGAGAATGAAACAACAGGGACCCCAGTGTGGCCCTGAGACAAGCAAAGTATGGAATACACACCCTCAATCAAATTAGAAGTGACAAGTCTCCCTGCTGCCTTTGCATGAGTGGAGGTACCTAAAATACTTGGGTTTGGGGAGACCAAGGCTCTGATCTCCAAGAGACCCAAACTAATCTTAACGTGGCCTCTAACTAGGACAGTCTCTTCGGCAGGCCCTCTATGCTGTGGTGCTGAACTCAGAGGTTGTGGTAAGGACTGAGTGAGAAAAAATCCAACACAAACATTATCTAACCAAGCTTATAGCTGTTGGTATTATCATTATTATTACCATTGTTGTTGTTATCAGGTAGAGGCAATTTGGCCTGCTTCCTTTCTTCTGTGCTGTTGTTCTCACTTAATAGCAAATCATGGTTGGAAAAACACTCAGGCCTAACATTTTTCTAGGATCCATATTATTGGAGGTACTCACCAAATGGGGATGTTGCTAAGTCAGCTAAGGTCTAGGAAGCAACACAACACTCAAAATAACCTTTCAGATAAGAGCACACTTTGATCATGAGATCCTGCCTCAGTTGTCTTGGCTGGAGAAAGGTTCTCTTAGCAAAGTTCTCAGCCTGTCCTACTGCTGAGCGGTGCTTTTCAATAGGTTACAGTTCATTAGTGGATACTGACTTCAATTTGATAGGTCATGACTAACATTCAAAAAAGAAAGAAAGGGGGGCTGGGGATTTAGCTCAGCAGCATAAGCGCCTGCCTTGCAAGCAGTCAGTCATGAGTTTGATCTCCGGTACCAATAAAAAAAAGAAAGAAAGAAAGAATTTAAGAAAGAAAGAAAGGGGCTGGGGACTTAGCTCAGTGGCATAAGTGCCTGCCTTGCAAGCGCGTGGTCATGAGTTCGATCCCTGGTACAAGTAAAAAAAAAGAAAGAAAGAAGCTGGGCACAATGGGACACTTCTATAATCCCATCACTGTGGGACACTAATGGAGGATGATTATAAATTCAAGCCCAGTCTGGAAAATTTAGAGAGTTTAAGACCCTATCTCAAAACAAAAAATACATTTAAGTAGGGACCTGGGGATGTAGCTCAATGGTGAAGGCCCTGGGTTCAGTACTTGGTACTGCAAAACGATTTTTTAATTTTAAAAAGAAATATACTGGATTAGAATGCTGGATATGTAGAATGTATAATATTGCTCCACGAAATTTGTTTTGCTCATACATGCATGCATGTGTGTGCTTGCATGTACATATGCACACATGTGCTGGGACATGCTGTAAAATGTCATTGTTTCTATGCTTAGTAGACAAAAAGCCTGTCAACTTCTATGTGTGCAAAAGTAAGGTTTGGAAAGTTATGAAGCCAAACCCATCCCAAGGGATAAAAGAGAAGGTAGACATGTGGCCCGGGGAGGCAGGAGGTGGGCAGGAATGGCAAATAGAAGGTGCTGTGCCCTTTCTCATGCCACCCAGGACCCACCCACACCTTGGGTTACTGAAGCATCCTTTTCTGGTTTCTCCTACAGGTTAGTAGCTTTAAAAAGTAAATATCAGCTCCTGAAACAGTGAGGGCAGTGTGCTTGTGGGGAGGGGCAACAAGGAGCTAGGAGGGCCCCTGCCCACTGTCGGTGCTGTGGGATCCTGGAGGGGCTGATCTCAGACTTGGACAAGTTGTTTTTGAGGTATTGGTTGATGTTCAGTGACAAAAGAAAGGGAGAGAAAGATAAAAGTGCATCACATCTATGATTCTATAAAGCTTAGACTAAAAAAAAGCTTCAAGGGCTAGAGTGAGAGGTAGCAGCCAGAGGGCTGTCTGGGCCTGAGGAAAGGCCACCAGAACCTTGCAACAGACAGACACAGACACAGACACAGACACAGACACAGACACAGACATAGACACACACACACACAACCTTCCATGGCCTCTCCTCCTCTCAGGGGAGACTTGGCTCCCCTTCCTTGGCTGCCAAGAACCATCATCTTCCTGATCTCTGTAGTTGTCCACCTTTATCACCTCTGCAAGGACTCCAGGGCCCAGCTGCCTGAGTAACATGATTCCCAGACCATCAGACTGGTCCCTCTTTCTTCTGGTCCCTACAGTGGCACAGACTTTTCTCTCCTTAGATATCACCAAAACTTGTCCTTCAGGCCCCTCTTAGCAGTTTACTTCTGACCTGAGGACACCAGTGCAGTGCTGGTCTGGAGCCCCCTGCAGAGGCACTTCTTTAAGTAAGTGTCTGCTGCCTGCCAAGATTGAACTCCTGAGGCAGGACCTGGCCTACTGGCTGCCCTGCTTTCCAGACGCCACAGCAAAGATGCATAATTACTTTCAGTCCTCCCAGGGACCTTGAATCCAAGGTCTCACACATGCTGGACAACCATTCTACCGAGTTACAGTCCCAGCTTTGATTTATATTTTTACTGAATGACGAGACAGAAAACATCCTTCTGGGGTCAAATCCTTCCAGCCCATCGACAGATGAATGGAGGAAGAAAGTGTGATATACATTTATTTATTCAGTCATAAAAGTATTCATAAAGAAGGATAAATTGGAGTCATTTGTAGGAAAATAGATTCACCGTCAGTTCACAATGCTAAGCACAGTAAATCAGACACAGAGGTTAGATTTTCAGTTTCTCTTATATAAGAAACCTAAAGCATAAGTAATTTAAAGAGCAAAACAAAAGATGATGGGACACAGGGAAATAGACTTTGTGGAGATGGAAAGGGGTTCTGAGGATAAGGAAATGCGAGGGAAGGAAGGGAAAGTGAAGAGGATCAAGATGCAGCGTGTATGTATAACCACACGCCATGATGAATATATTCCTTATGTATTGCAGGCTGCAGGCATGTATCTTTTTTTTTTGAGACAAAATCTCTGTATGTAGTTCAGGCTGATCTTGAACCCACAGAGATCCTCCTACCTCTGTGCACTACCGCACACGGGGAGAAAAACAATTTAAAAAGAACTAAAGTAAGTTTTTCAGAGGTATGAACCGCGGTGGGGAAGGGAGTCCGGTGCAGCAGAATTTGCAGGTGCAGGGAAGGATCCAAAAGAGCTGCAAGTCGGAAGCCTGTGCTGCCCAAAGCGGTGACGGTGGGCGGGCCTGCGACTGGGCTGCGGAACAGGTTGGGGCCGCTCCCTGGACTTTTACTGCCCTGGCTGTGCGTGGGCTGGGACGGCCCAGCTCCTGTCCCCGGGGCACCTTAAAGGGCCTGCAGGACCTCTGACTCCAAGTTCAAAGGTGGGAAAGCACGGGGTGTGTGTGGGGCGTGGGAAGGCGAGCAGAGCCCTGGGAGCAGGTCTCCCAGAGCGTGAAGAAGTGAGGCAGAGGCAGGTGGAGGCGGGCTAAGGGGGTAGTTTTGTCAAAGGTAATGGGAGACCACTAGAGGGAGGATGGGCTACAATCACTGTCCCCAATAACGGTATGCAAATTTAGGGAGAAGATGGTCTCCTTTCAACAGAGTCTCAAAAGTGCTGTGATACAAACAGTAAACAGATGCTAGGCTGCTGAGCAGGCTGCGGGAGTCTTGCTCTGGCAACAGCATGCGTGCTAGAATGGAGTTTCGCTGGTTTTCCTGGTGGAAAACATGTTCTATGGCAAGATAGCGTGTAAATATTTGAAATCTGACATTTGGGTGTTTAATAAGATCGTCTGACTCTCTGTCTACGAGACACAAATTTTTACTTTCAGTAGAGGTGGCCTCCAACCTAATAAGCATGCCGGGCATATTCCTAAGAAGTAGCTGTTTCCTGTGTGGTGTCAGTGTGTTTCTCTGGGTTCCTCCCCCCACAGTTGGCTTTGACTCTGCCGGTGCCTCCCATCTCTGGGTCCTGCATCTCATGTATCCAGGTTGGTCCAGGCCTAAGCCACTGATTCACTCACTTCACAAATATTTTCTTGAAAGCTGTCTGTTGTGCAAAGGGACAGGCAATGCCTGTTCCTTAACCTTAGATAAACCACAGGCAGTGGGGCACAGGCCCAGAGAAGCAGGCAGTGATAATGTGTGACTAACAGTACCAGCATGGGGCTCCACTCAGCACGGGAGGGGAACTGGCAGGCCTAGGTCCTCTAGACAGGAATGGAGTCAGCATGGGTCCGGGGAGGCCACCACAGCCACCTGCAGCTTGTTATGGAGCTGTGCTGCCTCCCTGCTCCTTTGAGCTTATCTTTCCTCAACCTGCAGGGGAATCTCACATTTGACTTGTGGAGTCTAAGCTATTAGCTTTGAGTGTCTTTGTCTTTCTTTTTTCTTACAGCTGAAGGGAGGAAGAGCTAGCCCAAGAAAAAACTCAAAATGTGTTGTTAATGTAGTCAAGTTTGGTTTTGAGAATGAGAAGAACATTTGTCCCCTTTGCCCCAGGCACGTTCCCCTGAATTGGCCATCTAGCAGGTGCCTCTTCTTCAGCCTGGCCTCTATGAACCTCTGCACCCGGGCAGAGGTCCTTTCATAAAACACACCTCCCTCCCGAAAGCCAGCCCCACAACATTAGGCAGGCTGCCCTTCCCCTTTATGTCTGTCCCTTAAAGCTCCACCCTAACACCATGACCGCAGAGAGGGAATTTGATGTGCTGGACTTGTCCAAATGGCTGGGGATAGGCAGGGAGGATTGTGACATCAGAGGAAAGCAAATAGACTACGGGAAGAGAGATTTTAAGAAATTGGCTCATGCATTTGTGGAAGCTGGCAAATTCAAATTTTGTGGGGTAGGCTGTCAGGCCTAGGGAAGTATCCAATTCAGTCTATTGGCAGCCCTCCCTGAGAGGGAATTATGCCAGGAGACTGACTGGACTCGGTTCAGCTGATTGGATGAGGCCCACCCATATTATGGAGGGCAAACTGCTTTACTTATGTCTACTCCAAATCGTAATCCTGTCCAAAAATTACCTTCCCAGAAATACTTAGGATAATATTTAACCAAATATTAGCATACTGTGGCCTAAACAAGTTAATACGGACAATAAACTCACAAGGCTCAATGCTGGTTCTGTGATTAGCTAGTAAGTCAAGGCTGGTAGCAGTGAGGGCGGGAGTTCACCACCCATAATGGCACTTCCACCTAGCACACTACCCTAAAGGCGTTAGCCTACTTTGTTTCTTTCCCCCTGGCTTCTTACTGTAAATCAATAAACCACGTTATTGACACACCTTATTTAGATCTGTGGGTCTGTCTCTTCTGTGATCTCTGGGGTAGCTCACCTGCTAGTGTATAAGTAACTTTTCAAGCTGCAACACCCAAAGACCCAGCTTGAACTTTGTAATGATGCTTCTCTCATTCTCCACAGGTTGTAAGGAGTGGGTAATGACAACGATTGAAGCATGGGTTCTCCTCTTCTACCTAAAACAGCTTTCCATGAATGTTTGTTGTCTTTCAGGGACTGGAAACCTGGAAGAAGTGATGAAGCTTCTCCTGTTCTGCTGTAGTCAGCTACTTAAAAGGACCACAATACTACTCAAAGGTTCTGACAGCAACAGAACCCAAGGAGAAGTTCGCAGATCTGTCTCCCTCCCCACTTCCCTAGGGCAGCCCAAACTCAGACATGTCACCACCAGGCTGAAGCCAGTCTGTTCTCCTAATGTCCCAGGCTGTGGACAGGAAGGGAAGGACACAGCTAGGCTCCTTACACAGGAACCCTTTTTCTTTTATTTTTTTTTGAACCCTTGGCACCTACATTTAACTGGAACCTTCTAGGGATAGTTGGTTGAACTGCAGAGGAATTAGAAAAGGCCTGCTGACTGGTTACGGTGAGGGGAGACTAGGTTCTAGCTTCCTATATTGGAAATGTACATACAACTTTTCCTAGAAATATGTTATAGGTACTTAAACACTTCACCGAAGGAGTTAAATAGGCTTTCGCCAAAAGATCTTTCCAAATCTAGCATATAGGACATTATTTTCCTTTGAGAAATGTGTTACTGATCTCAAATAATTTGCATTCAGTTTTTATAATGGCAAATAAAGAGATTCTTATTAAAATATATAACTAATAATTTGCATTCAGAAACCATTTATCTAACGTGAGTGTAGTAGTACATACCTGTACTACTAAAGAGTCTGAGACAAGGACATTTCAAAGTTCAAGGCCGGCCTGAACAATTTAATGAGCCTCTGTCTCAAAATAAAGTAAAATAAAAGGGAATTGGAGGATGTAGCTCAGTGGTAGAGAGTTTGCTTTGCATGTGTGAGGCCTTGAGTTCAATTCTATGTACAGAAAAAGAGAAATTAAAGAATATCTACTTACCTATAAATGTGAACCATTGTCCACACCATCCCTATTGCCACCCAATCCTTAAATTCAAGCAAGTCTGCACACTGCTGAATAAATGTATTCAGTTTTCATTTTTTTGTACCTTCCTCCACCCAAAGTTCATGCAGTGATTTTGCACTCTGTCCTGCACCTTGTAGCTTAGATGCTGGAGGCCCCAGGGCAGAAACTGTCCCTTGTTTTCACACTCCCCAGTGCATATTTTCAGCCTTCTCTAAATTGTGAATGCAAGAAATAAAGTGCCTCCCCACTTCTTAGGAGAGACACATTTTCCACTCACACCTTCTCTGTGGGATGGGGAGGGGCTGGCTGTGAAAGGTGGGCAGTGGAGAAGAGGGTGCTCAGCTATGCCCAGCCCAGAGCCCCATTCACCCTTAAATGGTTCTGCCTGATAATCTTAGTCTTGTTGGAAGAGGAGGGCTTTTGCCTTTCCATATTTTCAACACAGGAAAGATTGAGTTTACTAGAAAATAAGTGTTGTTATGAATGGAACAGGCTGAGGCTCCTGTATCACCTGTCTATGTGGCCTTTTTGTTCATCTATGAAAATCTTTTAAGAGTAGGCTGGGAAAATATTTTTCAGCTCCATACATTAAAGTTAAATCAGCAGTTCTCAGCTTGGGATAGATTTGTCCCCCATGGGAAATTTGGCAACGTTTGGAGACATTTTGGGTTTTCATGACTGAGAGGAGGAGTTGAGACCAGAGTTGCTATTAAATATCCTATAATACATAGGGCAGTCCCCACAGCAAAGAATGCCAGTGTCAAAGCTAAAACCTCTAAGTCAAATGGTTATATCTGGTCTGTCACCATTATTATATCATCCAGGGAAACAAACACCCAGAAATCATTGAGACCTCACATTTGCCATGATTTAAATGTATAGAAGGACAAATGACTTTTTTCTGAACTATATTTCCCTGTTACTGGTTTACTGGTTACTGGTTTATAGTCACACAATGATTTAAGAAAATTAACATTTCCTTAAAGTGTCATCTTCACTGTTAATCATCTTTTACAAATCAATCAAGCTTTTATTACTCTAAGCAAGTAATAATTGAGGGAGCAGAAGAAACTGCAGAATGTACTGAGATGAGGCAGCTGGCTCATTCACCAACTGCCTGCGGCAGATTGTACTATCTGGAAATGAGTGTGCGGGTATCTCCTATCCTACACATTCTTCTTACAATTTGACTTTGGCAGTCCTCCCATTGAGAGGTAGGGACTGTCTTCCCTCCGGTTGAATCTGGGAATATGTTTGATCATGGTGCAAGTGATACCATGTGATCCCAAGCATAAAAGGAACATAGCTTCCTCTTAGTTCTCTGGGAACCTGGCCACTGGATGTGAGGAAGCAGGTGTGTAGGTGTTTTGGCTGAGGCAGAGAAGTCCCTGCTGGCAACCATCATCAGTTCACAGACACGAGGGCAAGCAAGCCTTCAGTTAGCTTCTGACCTTTTCCACTGAATCACCCACTGTCTGAGTGCCAACAACTAAGCTGTGGAAAAAGACAAGCTATCTATACTACAGTTCCCTAATTTCTGACCCACACACTCCATAGCTATAAGGAAATTGTTATTTTAAGTCAAGAGTTTTGGGTAATTGTTATGCAACAAAATAAATCTGCTGTAGTAATTTTTCCTCTAATCTATAAAAACTTACCTTGCAATAAAATTCCAAAATACTATGTAATAATGGACTTTCCAGAAACCATTAATGCTGAATTTTTCACTGTTAAAGATACCCAAAATGGTGGAAACAACAACAATAAAAAAATCCAAATGGCAAACTTACTATCATTCACCTGTCCTGTACCTAAGGCAGGCATCATTAATTAATCGCAGAACTCTTTCCTGAGGAAGAAGGATCCGGTCCAAAAGTGCTTCTCAACAAAGTGCTCAAAAAGCAAATCAACAACCAAGTGACTGGGGCTGTCATACAATTTGAAATCGCTTTTCCATCCCCAGGATTCTTTGTAAGAATTGAGCTAGGTTCCACTGGCTGATGCCCAGAAAGAAGATTTAACTATTGTTTAATCAGGTGCATAAACAGGATGCCGTGCCTTGTTTGCAAAAATTCTGTTATATTAACTTAGTAGATGAATGTGGTGGCATTCTTTTATCATGATTTTTGAGAACTTGGAATGAAACAATAGTGATTTATTGATGCCAACACCATTTTTATTAAAAACAAATAAACCTAAATCCCTGGTACATGAGGAAAATGTTTAACTCCTTTTTAAAAAAGTGGAACAATCTCCAAATAAAACCCCCACATTATTAATGGGTCCATATGTCTAGCCAGCGACTGAAGATTGCCAAGCTTCTGGGATAGTTCAGAAGTAGAATTTTTTATTTTAGTTTGATGAAGCATGCATAGAGCGACAGAAGCCACTGACACATGTGTGATTTTGATGTTTGTTCAATGCACATTATTATAGCAGGTCTAGCAAAGAGCATGAAATACATATGCCCTCTTTCTTTCAATTTTCTGTTTGTGAATTTGATGTCTTCACCCTACAACTGACAGCTAAATTTTTCTCTCATCTACCAGGGATTCTGGGAAAGTTGTTTACTTTTAAAAGAAATGTAATAATGGTTATTTGAAGAAAATAACTGAAGTAATTGAATTCCTAGGAAGGCGGACCACACAACTGAGGTACTTTTTAACTTAAGATTTCAACAATTCTGGTAACAGCACGGTCACCCTTACTCTTTCATGGTGACTTTTGGAACTTTGAATCTAGCTATCTACAACAGGACAGCAAAATGGTACAAAAGAGGAAAAGTCACACAGACTGAAATTCTCTTAATTGTCCACGTGAGAACATTTTACAAATTATAACTTAACTAAGGCAATAACATGAGGAATGTTTTTGAGATCAGCGAACATTGTTTCCCACGTCTCTGCTGGCATGTCCTCTGTCCCCTTCTCACTGTTAAATAACATTTATTCTCTCTTTATTTTTCTACAACAAGCATATCAACAAATCTATGTCCTCATGTTCAGATACCAGATCATTTTCCTTCCTAGTTGCCATTCGCTGTCCTCTCAGGAAAACTATTGATTCCTTGGCTAATCTGAAACTGATTCAAACTGAGATATTATGAGCTTTGCTCTAGTCAGAAAAAAAAGTTGAGATGATATAAATTAAAAGTAAGTGGATGTATTTTACTTATTTAGAGGACTATGTAAACATAGCAAACAATGCCAGTGAACATTACATTCTCACAACTTTGGGAGATACCTATGACTTTGCTCATTTTCCTGATGTGGAAAGGGAAGAAAAGGCAAGTCTAGAGATTGCTCGAGGCTCCAAGATTCAAAAAGCCATCAGCTTCACTGCAAAGCACAAGCATTTGGCTGTCATGCCTTTCTTTTAGTGTTACCTTTCTTGGCTTTGAGAGAGTTAAGAAGATGACCCTCTCCTGGCAATTTTGAGGAGAAAAAGCATTTAACCACCCTCACTCCTGATGGCCAATATGAAAATTAGAACACTGATGTGACTGCAGCTCTTCTGGAACACTTAGCAAATGGCTTGCTTTGAAAAGTCGAGTGTTTACTCACTCAAGTGCTAATTTTTAAATGTGTATGAAAATTTTTCGTAAATGCATTCTGCAACTCCATTCTTTCATGAGGTAGATATTCTAAACACAATTTAACCTTTAGTCTTTCCTTATATACTCAAGGTTTGCCATGTGAACATTAGCTACCCTTAAAGAGGCTGCAGACAGCAATGCCCTAGAGGACCGTGGAAGTACATAGAGCTGTTTTTAACCTACGTCTTAAGTGGTCCCAGACTACTGTGCTATTTGAGTTCTTGTGTCTGCTTTTCATAGATTTTCTGTCTTGTCAACCTCTTGGGTATTGACTCTCATTTGCTATTAGTATCTGTCTCTATTAGTTCTTCTTTGTCTAATCTTGCTACTTATAGTTTGTGATGGATATGCCAGATATTTAGGCATATTTTGTCCAAAAATACCCACTGCATGACTGAGGGGACTACTGGTAAATATGAAACATGAATTTTAGTGAATTGAATTTATAACATCTATTTTAACTTTTTAATTCTCTGAGCCATAACTGATGAGACTGTTAATCAATGTGCTAGAAATATCTATTGGTGCCTGCCTGCTCACAATCCCTTTTAAGGAAATTTCCTGGCTGTCATAGCCTCTGCTTCTTAGCTGGCCATGTTTTGCCTATAAAGGAATCCACCCACATCATCTATACTACATGTGATTGGATGCGTGGAATGCCAGACTCAAGGCCACCAGATTACAGACTGGCCAGCAACCATGATGAAAAGATGTGCATGGCTAGTCCTAGCTCTGGGGAATTGGAATTGGATGGATGGAGTGGTATTTGAAACAACATTTACAGTGGAATTGTGTCCCTTGAGGCTACCATGTGCGTTGGACTGCATGAAGTGATGAAGCAGTAGAATTTCTAAGCTAACCAGTGGGAGAAAGAGAAGGAAGCAAATGCATGGACTGAGATGGGAGTGTGGAGAAGGCTGGAATTTATTCCGTGTGTATCTTTACTTTGAGTACTATTTCTCGTGGGGCAACTTGAATGAGTCTCTGTATCTTGCTACAAAAGAATCCAACTATAAAAACTAATTTCTTGAGAGAGTTGTTAGTTCAGTTTCCTATATTTTCTGGATTCAGCCCAAGCAGAAGAGCACAATGCAACAATACAAGAAAAATAAAACAGTTTAAACTGGGAGTTACTTAAAGCCAGAATTTAGACAAAACACAAGAGTGCATATGAAGAAAAAGACAACAGCTAATAGTTATGCCAGAATAGAGGACCAGCATCCTTTATAGCTTGAATAATCAATTTGTCAACACAGAAGCAAAGATTAAGAATCTACATGATGAAAATGTAAAACAATCAGAAGGAAACCCTTGAGTCCTGCTAAAGTTCTTTTTTAATTAAGCAATTACAACTTGCATACAACACCTGGTTACCTGTGGCAGGGTGTGGATGTGATTGTGTACATGTGTGTGGCACCTCACTAGGAGAGGGGTGTGTGTGACCTCCCTTGAGGTCCTAGAGCAGCCTATATAAAAAGGCACAGCTACACAGGTGCTCCTGTGGGAGCCCATGGGGAAGAAAACAGACAGGAGGCAGACGGTTACAGAAAGGAGCCAAACAGGAGGCTAAGAATAATTTCTTATCCATTGCTTTGTTGTCTCCACAGAGGCAAGAGAGTGAATCTGCTGGTGGTCCTCAGGAACCTTTATAAGGCCAGAATGGAGAAATGACATACATTTTTCCTATGCATCACAGGCACTGGCCTCCAGGGGTTTCTCAGCAATTGTGTGGCCTCCCAGGCTGGGAAAGGAGAGATGGAGCTGCCCCCCAGTGAAGGCCAACTGGTCCATGGGGGTATTAGTGGAAGACAGACAGAGGCCAAGCTGAAGGGAAGCCAGGGCTGTTACTGGCATTCAAATTAAAGGGCAAGATGATAAACAAAAAATAGACTGGTGTCTAGGACAGATGAGAACAGTGCACCAAAGTGTTAGGAATCAGGGGCTGAATTAATCTGGTCAGAACCTGGAAAACAGAGAGTGCTAGGCACCAACTCAGACTACCTGAAGGTTCCTTCACCTGAAACCCGTGCTCCCTACCTATGCTGCAGAGTCAGGGTGAGAGACACAGGAGGAAGTGGAGGAAAGAGAAGAGGGACAGAGAAGACAAGGACAGGCAAAGAGGTGGGGAAGAAAGAGATCACACTTAAGGGCACACAGCAGGGGTTGACAAACTGTGGTCACACAGTTAACATCTTCCCCAGAAGACTGGTTTCTAGTAACAAAACAAAAATCACCACCGAAACCTAAAACCTAATTGAAGTACCCTTCATGAAACAAATACGAGGTCATAATTAGCAAATCACATGATCATAATTAGCAAATCAGTAACCTAGGTCTGGATTCTGGGAACTAAATTTGCCTGGCTTACAGTGGCTTAGCTCATTCGCCCCTTCTGGCCCCATGACAACAGGCTCTGTGAAGCTGAACCCTGTCCCAGCACACGGGGGAGGAAGCAGGCTCCCTGACCTGTCTCAGGCTCGGAGGCCCACTTTCAAAGAGGGCTGCTGAAGGTCTGGAGTAAGCAAGGAGGAGGCTGAGGAGGGAAGAGATGAGGGGAAACTCTGGCCCCGGGACACCCTCTGGACTATCAGGGAGTTTTGTACTCCGCAATGGAGAACGGAGATACATGTGTCCTTCCTCCACATGCCTCGCATCACCCTTGGCACTGGGCTGCCTGCCCCATCAGACTATCTGACCAGCTGGCTGTGGCCTCCTTCCTGAAGCATTTCTTTCTTGGGTCCTGAGATAGTATGCTTGCCTGAATTTTTTCCTTTTTCTTCATTCATTCATGGCTGTACCTTCTGAGAACTGTTTTTTTAAGCCTGGTCACCCACTCCCAGGCTCCAGGGATCCTCCCGCCTCACACTTCTCAGTACTGGAACTGCAAGTGTGTGCCACCATGCCTGACATTTTTCTTTTAATTATGGACAATTTTAAACATTTATAAAAATAGACAAGACAAAACAGCACAGTAAAGGCCCTTGTCCATCACAGTTCAACAACTGTGAATTTGTGGCCTATCACATTTACCCTGGACCTTTGTTCACTCTCCTGCTCCCACAGGTTATTTGAGGGTGAACCCCAGTCCTTGTACTAGCTGTGAGGATTTCAGCATATATCTCCAAGGCTCCCTTTAAAAGTCATGACTCAGGGGGCTGGGGATTTAGCTCAGCGGTATAAGCACCTGCCTTGCAAGTATGCGGTCGTGAGTTCGATCCCTGGTACCGATAAAAACGAAAAAGACAAAAAAAAAAAAAAAGTCATGACTCAGTTCCACTCATCACATCCCAAAAACTGTCCTCAAGAGAACCAGAAACCTGGTCAGTATTGGTGTCTCCCCAGTGATTCAATAAATAGCCTTTAAAAAATGCTTTATTTGTGTGAATTTGGATCCAAATGAAATCTATACAATGTTATTGCTTAATATCTCTCCTGTCTTTTAATTTATAAATTTTCTCTCTATATCTTCTTTTTCTTACAGTTTTTCTGTTGAAAACACCAGATTGTATGACCTAAAAAATGTCCCACAATCTGGACTGTGTCCATTTCATCTGTGGTTATGCTAACATGTTACTCTGACCCTTGTATTTCTATTTGTGTGTATTACTGAGATCTGGATGTTTAAGCTGGTTCAGGTTCTATTTTTCAGTGAACACTTCATGGTGGCCACAGAACAGCCTAATGCATAGTTGGGTCCACTTGAAATGTTAGAAGCCATTAATGATCACTGCTTAGTGGTTACTGCCATTATTCATCAAGGAACTGCCAAGCGTCATTCTTCCCATCCCTTGTTCATTTCCCAGTTGTGATACTAAAAAAGGAGCCTTCTTTCATGAGCTATTTGGTGACTGAGGCACTGTTCCTTTAGAAAGTCAGCCTGCCTGGTAGCTCCAGCACCACTATGGCCCACTAGCTGTGTGTCCATGGACAAGCCATGTGATGGCTCAGCGCTCCTTTTCCAGCTATCCGTGGGAATGATCTGGTGGATACAGGAGTGTTCTAAGGGTTAAAGGAGATTAAACACATCAAGTTCTTTTTTTTTTTTTTTTTTTTTTTTATCGGTACGAGGGATTGAACTCACGACTGCCTGCTTGCAAGGCAGGCGCTTATGCCACTGAGCTAAATCCCCAGCCCCTACACATCAAGTTCTTGACAGGTAAGCATCTTGTGATTGAATTGCTATTCCTACTTTCATTGCTAGAATGAGAATTTCCTCACCAGTGAGCAACCCTCAAGGACACTGAGCAGGGTTTGGCTTTTCATCACTTGTCATTCCTATGGGCTTGTTGCAGCCATCAGCAGAGTTGTCCCCCCAAAGGAAAGCCGTTTCCCTGCACAGGAGTTGTTCCCAATGCCAATGACAGCAATCAGCAGTCTGCTCTACAGAGAGGGGTCAGAGAAGGTGCATGGGAGCCAGGGATGGATCCCAGTGAGGCAAGTACCTGGGGCCTGGACCATCCTGCCTCCCCCAAGGAAGAGCACGAGGAGACACAAAGGCTCAAGCACACACATCTCTCTCACAGTGCTCTTCCTCTGAAACTCCTGTTAGAAACCCATTAATTCTTCCTCTGGTTTTGGAAAGTCAGTAAATTAATTCTATTGTCAGAACAGGTGGCTACTTGTTTATGACAATAAGAATTTTACAAGGCTTTGTAAAAACCATTCAGGCATATTTAGGACCTAAAGGTATCCATCTCAAATTGACTCTAGGTTTAATGTCTGTATTTCTGTTCATAGTAAATCTTTACTGGGTCATTTACATCATCTTAATGGTTCCTACTTAACAGAGGGTCCTTGAGATTTTTTGGTATATACTGTAAAATAAGAAGCCATTTATAAGTCAGTCTATATAGATTATAAAACTAAATCTTATTTTAGTGACCCAATCCCAAAATACGGATTTCTGAGGCTTTAGGAAGAGTCCACTCCTGAGGAGTGGACAGCCAGAGCCCTGGGTACTCATATAGAACATGCCTCATGTAGATTAACCCTTCAATTACTCCTCTTCTATTTTTTTGGAATGTCTAACAGCAGAACACAATGAAATTTTTTTCTCTTCAAATCTTTGTTCCTTGAACCTTTCTAGGTAAGTATACAAGTTTAATTCAAAAGTTCAAAAAATGTGCAGTCTTTATTGTAAGTGGGTTAAGAGGTTAAACTGTGAAACAGAAGGAATTTATTAAGTGTTCAACCCTAAGCAAGCTACTTCTCTGTGATCTTCAGTTTCCTTGCTTGCAAAACTTACTGATGCCGGGCGTGGTAGTATATGCCTATAATCCCAATATTTGAGAGGCTGAACCAGGAAGATTGCTGGCCCACACCCAGCCTGGATTACACAGTGAGTATAAGGCCAACCTGCTCTACATAGCAAGACCCTGTCTCAAAACAAACAAAGTAATTGTTAGTGAGGATTGAGTGAGATAATGTAAGAAATGCTTGAGTCCTCTGACGAATTTTAAGAATACAGTCATTGTTAGCTATCAGAATTATTATTGCTATTACCAGATTATGGCCAGGTTTCACATCACTATTTTCGTTTGAGACAAAATTTAGTTGCAATATTGTTCAACAATAGAAAGGAAGAAACTCTTAGTACAAATAACAACTAGGTGGATTTCAAGGACATTACACTGGTCTCAAAGGACCACATCATGTTTCTATCTATTCATTTGATAGTTTCAAAATTACAAAATTATAGGGATGGAGAACAGATTAATGGTTGCTAGGGTAATGTTAGGGATGGCGGGATGGGAACGTGACTCTAAAGGGTAGTAGGAAGGACATCATGTCACGACGAAACAGCACTGTATCTTGAGTGCTCTGGCGGTCACATGACTAGAAGAATGATAAAGTGACATAAAGCTATACATAGGCAGTACGAATGTCAGTTTCTACACTGATGTTATTCTCATGTAAAATGTAACCTTTGGAGTCAGGTATGGGAGAACCTTTCTATACTCTTTGTGACTTCCTATAAATCTACACTAATTTAAAAATAGTACAAAAAAGTGTTTTCTTATATTCTCAGCAT